CGGCCCCCCCCGCCCCCCCCGCCCCCCCCCCCCAGATCGTGGAATTCGAAGTGTTCCATAAAGCACGGATGTGGGTTCTGTTTGGGCCATCAGAACAGGTGGGAGACTCTGGCGAATTATCATGTGAGCCCTGACTGCAAAGCCTTATTCAGACCACACCCCTTCTTGTGCACCGGGCAGCTAACTCGATGTACTTTCGCACATGCTCCATCCCTCCTCCTTGGCAGAGAAGTAGCAGAAAGAGTTGGCGGCCACGAGCTTGAGGTTCAGCTTATTTTCAGGTAGGTTTGCAGACTAGATGTACTTGAGTTGAATGGGTCCAGCTAAAGACTGTTCGAAGGCCAGACTATTCAGGTGTTGTAGGGGGGGGGCAACGTTTATCAAGTGTATGCTGTTTGAGAAACTCATCAAGCCCTGAGCCCTGTTTAGGGTTTAGGGTTTCTAACCCTTTGGGGTAAGGCAAATGGGATGTTGATAGAGCCTAAGAGTACACTCAGAATCCTCAACCCTAAATCCCTGAACCCGGTAGGGCCATCGGGATCTTGTGGCAAAGAGTCTAAGCCCTAAAGCCTAAAGCCTAAAACCCTGAGGTTCAGGGTTGAGTAAACCTATAAACATAGATAATGTTTGTAGTTGAGGGTGTAGAGCCAACCGTTTAGAAGTACTCTTTCAAACAAATGGGGTGGTTCTATGTTCGTCAGGAATCTACATCAGTCATTCATACACCCTTGCGCCCTAATCGACCTGTCAAACGCCGTGCACGGTGAAGTTCCACAGAACCCTACGCGACCCGACAAGCACAATGCCTAAGCCTTCAACACGAAGCCAGCGAACCTTAGCCTGAATGAAAGCACCTTAAAGACGAGATGAACCCTAGAAGGGTTTAGGGTTCATATACCATATAGGGATTCATAGTATTAGGGTATAGGGCCCCAACTTTTAAGGGTCATTTGGTCCTTAAGGCAGAAAGCAGTCGTTATGGAGTCAGTTTTTAACCCCCAGGGCGCCTTAGGATTCAGGGTTCAGGTTTCGGGGAGGGCTGCGCCGGAATCAGAGTCGGAATGGCCCCGACATGTTGCAGGACTAAGGGGCCTAGGATCTAGGACCCTATAAAGGGTTTAGGGTTTAGGGGTTTAGGGTTTAGGGGTTTAGGGTTTAGGGTTTAGGCCCAATATAGGCCTAAACAATTACCAATACTATCTTGAGGATCAGTGCGACGAAACTGTTCGTTTAACAGGAGTCCAGTTGTGAAGACTCAATCACAAAATGGTCCCTAAAAATGTTTACAACCCCTCGTGTACTACGTTGCGACTCAAGCCGACTCAAACCGCAAACCTTAACCTTGGGTTTAGGGCTTAGGGTTTAGAACGCTAAACCTTCAGACCTGTCCCTTAAACCCGAAACCGACACCCTAAAAACTACGCACTCAGTCTTGAACTCTCCCCTGAGGCCAACGGGCCCTTCCCTCATACTCAGGGCCCTGCCCACTGTCGACACAGAACTGGCAAGCAGGCAATGGCGGGGCCGGGGCTTGATTTATGATCGTGAACCCTAAACCCTCTAAGTTTAGGGTTTGCAAGTTTGCGGTTTGAGGTTCAGGGTTTGGCGTACTTAAACATCACCTTGCACTGTTCCGGCTTCCTCATCAACTGACTGCAGTCAATGTTGAAATCTTGAGCATTTAGAAGTTGTGGCCGAGGCTTTGTGTCTTTAGGGGTCAGGGTTTCCCCAAACCCTCAGGCAGCCATAAATAAATCCTAATTCATAAACATACCGTAGGCTTTCTCATGTTCAACGTAAGGGCTTTAATGCTTTAATGTTTGTATGGATATTTTATAGAAGCTCAAGGCCTAAGGGACAGTGCTGTTAGCACTAACAAACCCGAACCATAACCCTAAACCCTAAACCCTCAACCCTCAACCCTAACTCTCTTAATTATTCCGAAATCCCGGACTGAGACGGTATGGTGTCGGGGCCTGGCGGTCCATAGAATAACACTGCCAAGCGGGGCCCTTCAGCCGTGGAGAACGATGCGGAGTTGGAACCCCCGAACCCTGAAACGAAATCCCGAAGCTCAAACTCTGAGCCCGATCGCCTCAAACCTAAACCCTAAACCCTAAACCTGAAACACTAAACCGTAAACCCTAAACCCTAAACCCTAAACCTTAAACCCTAAACCCTAGACCTTAAACCCAAAAGCCTACACCCCAGACCTCGCCCTTAAACCCTCATCCCGACTGTCGCTGGGACCTCGTCGTCGATGACGACGAGGTGGAGGACACGCCAAGCGACACGGTGCCCCCTCCGTCGGTGAGCTGATGAAGGTGATAGGAAGCCTGGAAGTGGTATGTGTTTAGGGCTTTGGGTTTAGGGTTTAGGGTTTAGGATGTAGGGTTTCGGGTTTAGGTTTTAGGGTTTAGGAGCTTATGGCTATGCTTCGGAGAAAAGTTTAGAGGGTAGGAACAGAGACATGACACGATCTTGAGCTGCTGGCGAACCTGTGGCAAAAGGTGCTCTAGAGTCACACGAGTTTTAAACAAAATTTCGGAGCTGACCATGATAACTGCATCGCTTCCATGCGCACGACACACGCGCTATTATAAGACTATCTGTGTGTGTGTGTGTGTGCGTGTGTGTATATATATACATACCTACCTACCGACCGACCGACCGACCTACCTAACTACCTACCTTGACAAACAGACAGTGACAAACGAGACAGGCAGACGGATTTACACATATATCAGCAATGCCCTGAATGTGTCCGATTGCCTCTAAACCTAAAAGCCAAAACCCCATCCCACATAAAAAGACGCCCTCGGGCAGGGATGAGGTTTCTCGGTCCACTTTGAAGCAAAACACCTCACCCCCAGCCTCACGCACTACCTGGACCCCACGAAATCTTCAATTTTCGAGTTCCCTGTTATGATTTCCTTAAAAACCCTAAACCATTAAACGACCCTAAACCCTAAACCCCTAAACCCTTTTAGGTGGGCTAGTTGGGGTCCAAGCTCTTTGCCCTCCCTGTTCCTAGACCCAGGCTGTGAATTTCGTAGGGCTAGTGCCAGACCGACGCCCAAAAAAGCTCAGAAAACGAAGCCCTGAAGCCCTAAACCCCGAATCCCTGAAGCCGTAGCAAGTAGGGCCCCAAACAAGCACATAAGCAAAAATTAGGATAGGGATATCCCATATAAATCCACGCAAAATGAAGCCCAATAAGGTAAGGATATCCCTATAGAATGCTTATGCTTATGTCCTTTTTGGGTTCCTAAAGCAAGAGCCCCAAAGCACCAAAAATGCCCCAGAAAGCTTCAACGTGCGGAGGAGGGCACAACTCCGCGGGCCACGCTCATATCCGTGGGATCTTCCGTATCCTCCTCAAAGCCGAAGGTTTAGGGTGGTTTAGGGATTAGGGTTTAGGGAGTTTAGGGTTTATAGGGATTGGGATTAGGGTTTCGGGATTAGGGCTTGGGGATTAGGGTTTAGTGTTTAGGGTTTAGGGCTTGGGGTTTCGGATTTATTGTAGGGTCTCGGGCTCGCGCTGAGTGTAGGGCTTCGGGTACGGTATAGATACGGTTGATGATATAAATCCTGAATTACCCCTGATAAGGAATATACCATAAGCCCCATAGTTTAGGGTCCTATTCAGGTAACGCACGATTTATATCATGAACAGTAGTATGGAGCGCTTTGTGGAAGACAGGGTAGAGGGCTCTGGCTGTTTCAGGTCATGCTTGGGGGCTTGAGAGTTCCTCGACGGGTATAAATCCTGAGAAGACAGAGACAGGATGGATCACGATGCAACTCTACGACGGGTTTCGAGACAAGGTAGGTCCTAAGGACATAACCTTTGTAACTAGTTATATGGGCTAAACCCTAAACCCTAAGCCATGAACCCTAAATCCTGAACCCTAAACTCCCTAAGCCCTATAAGCCCTCAACCCAGCGCTGCAAACAAAAACAAGGAACCGCTAGACCCTGCGCCAGCCTCCCCGAGGAAGAGGATCAGGAATCGGAGGATCACGGGGATGATTGCAGCAAGAGTCGCCACCACGACGAGCACTTCCGACGCTGTGTCCTGGTTGTGGGCTGTTGCTCTATTGTCTTTGGGGGTTTGAATGATTAGGATAGGTTTGGGGGGTATATTGTGCTAGACCTATAATACGGACTGCAGGGGAAGACTAATCTTAACTATTTTGGCTTCCATATTGTTATTCTCCGACACAGCTTACAAGCCCTGAACAGCTCCCCTTCATGTGCAGCTGTAGTCCTTAGAAACTCTAAACCCCCTTACCCTAAGCCGTAAAGCCCAAAACCTAAAACCCTAAACTTTAAACGGTAAACCCTAAGCCAGCCAGAAACTCTAAATGCTAAACCCTAGAACCTCAAATCCTTATATCCCAAAACACTTCAGGGGCTTGGGAACGTTTGTAGAGTCTAGCTGTTGCTGGGATTTTGGGGGAACTCCGGGCTCTCCCCACAGGTCCAAACACTGTAGGAGTCCTGCATGACAGAAGCTTTTATGTGGGAATCTGACTAGGTTGGCCCTGCAATGCCTCTGAAAAAAATATTCGTACATAGGGTCGTCTTAAGCCCACGAAGGGAAAACATAAAATATCCAAAAGGCCTACTGTACCTAGCATAAGGGTTCTATAAGGGTTCTATAATGTTTGAAAGTTTACTGCATGAGCCTGATTAAGAAACCCATGTCCTATAACACAAACATAATAAGATGAATATACAGTGCCCCCAATAAAGACCCAAGGTTTCATAATCAGGTTCCTATACTACGTACCGACAAATCCCCGACAACTTACACTAGACCCTACATGTTGCAGGGTTTTCAATACATTCCATCTTATACGGTTTATAAGAAGAATGTACACACAGGTAGGTTGTAGTAGTTTAAGACACTCTTGGGAATCCATAGCGGCGAAACATTTTAAAGGGTGCGGGTTTAGGGTTTAGGGTTTAGGGTTATGAGTTTATGACTTCTTCACAAGGGATGCTCCTGATAAGATAGGGATCTGAGTCATCAGAAGCGTGGTAGATTCTGTTAGATCGTTGAGGAGTTCCATGGAAGACTCCGAAGGGGGCGATAAGGTTATATCTTTATATGGGTAGTTCTCTAAATTAGAGGTTCCCGTTTAGATCCCCAATATAGTACGGCACCCTTATAACAGGGACCCTAACAGGGATCCTAATTTAGAGAGTTACCCATATACTGACATGAGCTAATTGTTCAGACCATGTGGATTCGCACTGTGCTGTAGCCGAAAGCCTTGAGCCCTAAACCCTCAAACCACAAACCGGAGAGCCGTGAACCCTAGATGCTTGGGCCCCCCTGGAAGCCAAACCAGCACAGCGTACTTGTTGATAATGTAGGAACCTTAATAATTAGTATAAGGTTTGGGGGTACATTATACTATAACCGCCCAAAACAGAGTATAGGAAATTATTAAGGCCCCTACGTTCGGTTCTTTTTGCCAAACCTCATCGACTTAAACCCTAAACCCTAAACCCCTATATAAACCCTAAACCCCTAAACCCCTAAACCCCTAAACCCGTACCGGAGATTCTTGGGCCCGCTGGGATCTCAGCCCTTCTCTTGGGTGGTTGTCAAAATTAGGGTCCCTTTTTGGGTACCTTAAATATTAGGTGCCGTATTATATTACGGACCCAAAAAGGGGCCATAATTTTGACAACCCACTTCTTGCTTTTCAAGGAGCCGACCATCCACTGATGACGAAGAGCAAGAACCTCACAGAATCCCGGTTTCAGGGTTTAGGGTTTAGGGGTTTAAGGTTTTAGGGTTTAGGGTTTAGGGTTTTGGGTTTATAAGAACCTCAAAGAATCACGGGCTTTTGGGGGGTTTAGGGCTTTTAGTTTTTAATAAAAAAAGCAAGAACCTCGCAGAATCACGGGCTTTTGGGGGCAAGAATGGTTTAGGGGTTTAGGGTTTAGGGTTTTAGGGGTTTAGGGTTTAGTTTTTAATGAAAAACAAGAACCTCGCAGAATCACGGGCTTTTGGGGGGTTTTGGGTTTCGTTTGTAATTAAAAACAAGAACCTCAAAGAATCACTGGCTTTTGGGGGTGTAGGGTTTAGTTTTTAATAAAAAAAACAAGAACCTCGCAGAATCACGGGCTTTTGGGGGTTTAGGGCTTTAGGGTTTAGGGTTTTAGGGTTTGGCGGTTTAGGGCCTAAGGGTTTAAGTTTAAGGGTTTAGGGTTCAGGGTTGAGGGCCAGTTTGGGGCTTGGGGGTTTCGGGTTTGGGAGTTTAGTGTTGAAGGGTCAGGCCACGGTCTCCACCTAAACCCTAAACTGTATAGGTTAGGGTTTAGGGTTTGGGTTCAGGATTTAGGGTTTAGGGTTAAGGGTTAAGGGTTTAGGGTTTAGGGCTTTGGTTTATGGTTTAGGGTTTAGGGTGTTACATCCGACGAGGCCCCAATTACCAATCCACCCTAAACCCTAACCCCTAAACTCTAAACCCTAAATTCCAACCCCTAACCCCTGAACTCGAAACCCAAGCCCCTGAACCCCAAACCTTAAAAACGCCTCCAGCCTGCACCCTATGAAGCCGAATCGTCCCTGAGCAAAGTGGCACGTAGATGAGCACATGTACGGTGACTTCCTTGGGAGCCGAGTGTCTAGGGTTAGGGTTTAAGGTTTAGGGCTTAGGGGTTAGGGTTTAGGGGCTTAGGGTTAAGGGGCTTAGGGTTAAGGGGTTTAGGGGTTTAGGGTTTAGGGCTTGTATAGGTTCAGTGGGAGATAGTTAGAGTCGTGGGCAAGAGGTGGGTGTTCAGGTCGCTTAGTTCTTCGGGCTTCTTTGGTTTAGGCTTCAGAAATATTCGGGGCCACCGGAATTCGACGAAGCAGGATTTATGGGTTCACGACTTCGACACACTCTAAACCCTAAGCCCTATATAAACCCTAAACCCGAAACCCTCAACCCAAACCCTCGAGGGGATAGTTCTAGGAGTGCCAGAAACAGGTCAATTCTGGGAGTTCCAGAGTGTACCTACAGTCTCCACTCTAGCTACTTATGGGCTTAACAACTTTTGTGTTTTAGGATTCCTAGTAAGGTAAAACCAAAAAAAGACTCTACAACGGAGACTATAACTATAGAAACAGGGTGAAGGGCTTTCTATTCGACCTCAAGGATGTAAGTTGTCCAGGTATGCGAATTGCAGGATGTGTAGTCTGCGAGGCTGTGAGGGCTCGTTTAAGTAAGGGCTCCTACACAAGGCATGACGTGTCGTCTGTGGAGCGGTACTGGTAAGGTTGTTCAGATTTTTAGGATGCATAAACCCGAACCCCTGATAAAGCCAGTGTCTGGCTTCTACGTGATGCGGGCGTTCGCTGACATCAAAAGCCATAGTGGCAAAACAAGTTCAGGACCCAGCTTAAACGAAGCCACTGAAAATCACACACCTGAACCAATTCCTCGGGGCTTAAGGCTTAAAGCTTAACTTTGGGTAGCCTTACACCCCTCTCTCTCTCTACCTCTCTACTCCAAACTCTCAAGCGACTAGTGAACCTGGAAACCCATTCCATGGCCCAAGGGGCCCAGTCGTTGAGGTAGGTCCACACATATGGCTGCAGAGTAGCTTCCAGGATGACATACCTCCAGGGCACTGGCTTCGCCTACACCCTAATTCTCAACCTGAAACCCTGGACCCTAGTTCAATCCTAGACCCTAAACCCTAAACCCCTAAACTTAAACCCTAAACCTTGAAACCCTAAACCCCAAAACTGACACGCTAAACCTTGAAACCCTAAACCCTAAACCCGAATTGACTTTGGGCTGAGCTGGTTTGATGATTTCGCTCGGAGTTTACGAGATCGTGGTGGCAAGGGATACCAGGAATCCATTGAGGGAAGCGGACGGTGAGGGAAGCCTGAACAACCCTTTCCGGGTTTAGCGGTTGGGGTCTTAGGGGCTTAGGGGTTTAGGGTCTAAGGGATTAATAGGGAGCAGAATCTAGTAAGGAGTTGGAGAGGATATGGGTAGTTTTCTAAATTAGGGTCCCTTTTTAGGTCCCCAATATAGTACGGCACCCTTATAAAAAGGACCCCCAAAGGGACCCTAATTTAGAGTACTACCCATATGATGAATCGACAGAGACTATA